TCTCTCTCTCTCTCTCTCTCATCTCTTGCCCCACCCAGGAGATCGTGGGAAGCCACTTGATCGCATGGACTGAGCCAAGCGGCAGCTGAATGTCACCGAGGTTTTGCATGCTTCCCTTGAGCCTGAAACTTGAGGGGTGCTGACAACATCTGCCGAAAGTTGCGAGCTGTAAGGCTGCTATGTGGCAGTCTCGACAGGGGAGGATCTGGGCCAACCTGACACTCCGGCGCAGTGTATGACGTGTCCATGTCACATGTACTGTATTGCTTTTGAAAATTACGATTCTTCTTGCTTCTCTCCGTGGAGCAGCACTGAGTCAAACGCGGGTGTTGATGGGAAGTGCTTGGGGACTCGCTCGACACGGTTGCCCTCTACCTAAGGATGCAATGGTCAAGTTGGCGCAGCAGATGATGGGCATTGCACGCAAGGCTACGAAATTTCGCAACAGTTACAGACCATCAGCTTGCTCCCATCAAGCTCTTCCGTCTTCCGTTGGTCCGCCTGTGCGTACAGATGCCTGCACTGCATATTGCCAGGTAGCTGTATATGCAAGCATGCATGTCGCTCGTTTGTTTGTCTATTTGTCTGTCTGTCTGTCTGTCTGTCTGTCTGTCTGTCTGTCTCAGGAACGCACTCCATTGGCAGAACCTTGCGAGTTTTTATGCCATGCTTTTCAGCCCCTTGCTACGGTTGAATTCGAATGGCTGTCTGGGCGGAGGGCGGGTGTAAAAGTTTGTTCCGTGATGCTGCACGGGGCTGGCCGTCACACGGCCCGGCCACCGAAAGCCGTTCGCTGGCCGCGACACATCTGTGCCGCTGAACACGGCTGGCCGTCCGCGATACTACGCAGGGCATTCCGCGACACTGCTGTGACACTACACCTGCCATCTGTCCTGTGGACGGGGAGATGTGGTGGGAGCATCCGGTGGCAGTCAGCGAGCGAACGCTGGAACCAGCTCTGCAAGCAAGGATGCCTTGCGACCTGCTCAGATGTTTAGTGCCTGCGCTTACGATCAAGCGACGCGCATTGGCAGGCAAACCTTCCAATGTGCATTGGAATCCACTCAGACACTTGCCCGCAGATCTCATGCTAGCTTGACGGTGCGGAACTGTTTGTTTCTTAGCGCGAATAAGTCAGAAGGGGGACCCTCATAACGGTGCAGTTCACCTGTAGCTCCATAGCTCCATGCTGTAGTTCCACGCTTGCAGTCTTGACTACCCGAAACGTCCTGCCTGCACGACAGCATGGTGTGCCTTCACGTTGTTTCTGCCCGGAAAATCTGCGGGGAGTCCAAGCTCTAAGCTCTGCACAATCCGACTTGTCATGTCGCGGTTTGGATTTCCGAGTTTCAGTTGTGCAGCAAACATGTCCCAGGGCACAACCAGAAGCGGTTCGCACAAGAGACAGACGAATTGTCTTTTTTTGCGGGTCTCATGTCGGCTCGCTTGAGACTGGACAGTCCAACCTAAGGAGGCGGCTATTCCGATCCTTGCCCGCCGCAGAACTTCCAAGCGTGCACGTGCGGACGTGTTTTTCAGTTCGACGGTTCAAGAAGTTCCGGGACTCAACAGCTCAGCATCTGGTGCACCTTGGCCAGATCAGCTTGGGGCACTGATTTGTGCTGAGGCCAAAGCTCTTTGTGATGAGGTGCCTTGATAGCAACTCTTCCGAATTTCACAACTTCATCTGCCACTTTGCTGAGGCTGCTGACAACAGGATCCTCGTGTCTCACGCGGCCAGATGTCGACTCAGCGCAGATGTGGAGGCCTGTGACGGGCTGTGTCTGTGCACTGACTTGGCGAAGGGGGCCCGGCAAGGCAGAGATGCAAAAGTTTGGCTTGCGTCTGCTGGACGGTGGAGAGCACACCCTCAAAGACAAGCTGCATGACTCAGGGATAACCCGATCCATTTGTAGGTGTTCTGCTTAGCGACGACGGTTTCCTGTTGTAAATCCAAGAGGTGTTGTACTGCTTGCGCGCAGTATACCCGCTTTACACAAAAAGAAGTATCTGTTGGAATCTGGAGCTAGGCGACTGTCGCCGCGGAGGTTTGAAGCATGAACCTGTATTTCTACAGTCATCTGCTCGTGCTTGGGTTCATGGACCTAATCCCTGTATGTATCCAGTAAGCATGACGGCAACGAGAGTACCTGAGTACCTTTCTTTATATTCGTACAGTTTTGGAGATAGGGCAGTCTTCGTATGATCATTGTTGTGCAATGATGTGCGATGGCTCGTGGTATCTTCGCATGCCTCAAAGGCTTTCTCCGATTAGCTCAACATCACATGCATACAGGAGCTTTTGTTCCTTCAAACGGCAGCGAAATGCGTCCTGCCTGTTTGGCTACGAATCGGATTGATGCAATGGGCCTAAGGTTCTATTACTTTGCCGACAAGAATGAGGCTTCTGCGTTCCACATTGCAATAGGTTGTTCCGTTGATTCCTGATTGGCCATGAGGTTCCTGGTCCGGCGTCTTCCCCGCTACGAGTGCAGCGAGCGCCGAACGTGGGACGAAGTGAGGACCAAGCCAAGGAGGAGAAGGCGAAGGCCACAAAGGCCGTGTCTTGGTGCTTGGCGCGTACGTGCGGGGCTTGTTTCCCAAGAGCTTTCTCTAGCATCCTGAGAGGAGGAGACCGCGGAGACACCGGATCGGAGCCATGTCTGCATCCACCGCTGCAGCTCCGGCCATGACTCCTGCAGCCAGACTTTGCGCAGCCTCGACTTGAGGGGCTTTTGCCTCCTTCCATGAGAGCGACAGGCTTTGTCTCTTGAGCCTTCCCATAAGCCTAGGACGGTTTCGCAGCTCCAGGAGGACCAACTGCTTGAATCTGGAGTTGCCGTCGTATCGCAGTCATGCAGTCCACACCTTGAGAAAGTGTTTGGTAATGAACTTCTGATAGTTGTTGTGGAATGTGGCGGACAAGTCTCCACCTTAAGGTCGTGTAAGCATCCAGGCGAAGATATGACCTGATGGACTCTGGGATTTAGGGCATCGGCATTGGCCTCATCATCGCAAGCTTTTCTCACGAGTTGGCGTGACACTCTGCTGCAGGAGCTTTTGCGGACAAGAGTCGGCCTGCAGCAGATGCAAGCCAAGTAACGAGTATGATGTTTATCTGCCTCACCTTTTATGTTTCGGTTTGATGAAATACTGCGCAAGATAAGATCCGAGGTTACTCGTGGCCGAAGAACAGGAGCGACAGGCCAGACTCGAATCTGGATCGCTGAGACAGCAGCTGCAGCAGGCGGGGACTCGACTCGGCTCAATTGCCAGCATCGCACTGGCAGAGTTTGCAGGAAGTTCCAAAGGCGGGCCAGGCCCAGGCTCCTGGAAGCTCGCTTTGGAGCTCAACCTCAGACACCTGAAGGCATACCTTTCGACATTTCGTGGCAAGGCAAAATCGCGGACAGCCCACTGTCGACGCACAATAAGGACCTGCCATCCGAGATGAGACGTGCAAATTCCTCACCGGCGTCAGTGCTGTTTCTGCAGCTTTTCGCCTGGAACGGGAAAGGCAGTTTCTGTGTTTTCTCTGCAGTGCTTCAATCTCGTCAGAAGCCGAGGTGGCAGAATGCCCACCTCCAAGCCGAAATCCGTCAGTACCAGCAGGCCTTGACGAACACCCGGTCCGAGCTGCAGTGCCTCGGCACCAGTCGCAACCCATAAAGAGTCACAGAGGACGGCCCTGGGGTGCCGGCACCTTTTCTTCTCCCGAGGATGCAGGTCTTGGCCGGGCAGTTGATGGAGTCCAAGCACCAGCTCCTTCAGGCCCGAGTCGAGCACCTGGAGCTGGACCTGGGCTTCAAGGCGAGAAGGGAGGGCGGGGTCCCGAGCGCAAGGGCAGAGGATTGGAGGGCTGCCTCAAAAGGCAAAGACAGCACCTGCGCTCTGAGAGCATGCTCGCTCCTCTAACTTGGCGCCTGTTGGAGTGTTGATCTCTGTAACGAGGCACTCTACGGAGCCATGGGGCCACTCGGAGGGAGTAGGGAGGCTGTTTGGGATTTGTTTTTCGGCCCAGGCCGCCCTTTGCAGGCAGACGATCTAACATTTCAGAGCACGCAGAGTTTCTGTAGCTGGCCGTGAGTCGGCTCGGGGAAGCGAACCAGAGCGATGACATTGCAAAGGCACGAAGACGATCTCTTCGCAGATTTGCCAAAACTCAACTACAAGGCACCGGCCATATTGTGAGGACAGAGTGGCAGTGCCTTATGGTGTATCGTCTCGACGTTCTTGGCCATGTCTGGGCTGGTGTGATATGATGTGATGTGGGACCCCCTCATTAACAAAAGAAAGGGCCTTCGTGTTGTGGATCTGTCAGTTCGGGAGTGTCCCGCTTGGCGTCCTCGGCCCAGCTAGACTTGGTGTGGGAGACCCCAGAATATGGCCCAAATGCTTTACGCAAACTTGCAAGTTGGAGGACTTGCAAACAAGATTCCTCAAGCAAGCTGTACTGCGATGTGAGGCGACTGATGCCACAGCCGACCCTTCGTGGCTTTGCTGCAGTCACACCACAAAACATCAATAAACATCAACTTGTTGTTAAAAGCCGTTTCTGCATCTCGGCTTCAGGCTTTCATCGCGTCCGAAGGACTTCAGCTTCCCCGGCTTGGGCTCTCCGACGTCTGGGCTCGGCTCAGCATTTGAGGGCATGCCACGTTCGAGCCCTTCTGCTGAATCCTATTACAGCTTGTTCAGCGTTCTACAGACTCATGAAGAGAGTCTTGTGAGGCTTTGCACAAGGCCTGGACGTGGGACTGCCGTTTTCGGCAGGCAGACCGGCAGACCCGGGCCGTCGGACTCTGGCCAAGCCATTCCTTCTCTTCCCGAAGGACAATCGATGCCGCCGCTGAGCGGGCTCTCAGGCATCGTGGGCGACGGTGCCGGCCTTCCTACAGGAGGGGACTCGAGACCTCTGTCAAAAGTCTTCCAGCTACAGCGCAGGAGCTATCGGCACGACGTTCAGCGCTTCCCTTCCGAAGCCGACGCCATGAGAAAACATCATGCCAAACCGATAGGTTTGGGCATGTTTGGATCAAGCATGGTCGCGTCATGACATCGCTACTTAACTTATAGTTATAAGATCGCTACTTATTGTAAAGACGGTCATCCCTTCTCTGACATAGCTTGTGAGTGCTTATAGTAGCTTTCGTGGACAGATTCAGAGAAGACTCGAGTCTCTGTCTGATCTTTCCTGGGGAGATGCCCTGGCTCGTCATCGATGCAGCTGTCTCACCCTGCCCGACCTCAGCGTCGGGTTGGACACATCCTCGGAGCCCTGCCAGCACCTTCTGAGCTGCGTCGGTTGGCGACAAGTTAACGACTGCGCGGACCACTTTTCCTCGAATGGTTGCCGCTGCTGCTAACATGAACAACGCATTAAGCGTCGTCGCATCATGAAAAAAGTGCCTGTGCACTTGTGGCATTTGGGCGTTGACAAGGTTTTGCCGGAAACGAGCGACCACTCGCTGCTAGCAGCTAGCATCTGTGTAAGAGCTTGTGCTCGAAGTGCTTCTGCTGCAACGTCTGGTCTCAAGCATGCCTTGACACAGCCTTGTGAGTCTTGTAGTTAGTGCAAAATTGTCCAGGGTTCTAGATCATAAACCACCGGTAGCCGGCGCATTGCATCGCATTGAACGCTAGCCTGGCACTGGACCGAGCCCCAGGCCGACCCGGAACCCGGTCGACAGATCTCTGAGCAGGAGCTTGTACCCGCCCGCCAGGCTTCGAGTTTTGGGGATGTCTGCGCAGGGACTGCCAGCGCACATTTTGGCACTCTTTACTCCGAGGCCGGATGCACTGGGAGGATTTCCGCTGGGAGCAGTGACCATTGAACTTGATATCGTGGCAGGCCCCCGCCGCAACATCTACCCCCATGCGTCGTGAAACCCTTGATCAAGACCTCGGGCTGTGCAGAGCACCTTGCCTGATTTTGTGGAGACTGAGCACAGCTGTCTCAGTCAAGACTCGATGTTTGGAGGCAAGTGGACGTTTTGCTCGGCATTTACGGTAATTTCGTCGTGTCATACCACTTCTTGATGCCTCAAAAGCACTCCTGAATTTGAAAAATTTGGCTTCGGATTGGGGTTGAAGGGGGGGTGGGGGGGGTGGGGGGGGGCCCGAAACAGTATCAGCAGAAGAGCCGTTTTACTCGGTATATACAGTACTTTCGTGATCGGACCCTCTCATATAGTCACCAGACCTACCTTCTGGACTTTGCAAACTCGACCTTGATTTCAGAGGGCTTTCGGCGAAAACTCGAAATTGGGTGCGGGAAGTTTCTTTCGGGCATGATCACAACACCCTTTCGCAGACACCCCGAACAATATCTCCACACCCTAGCGCGCACACGCCACACAGCACCTCAAAAGCAAACCCTCCTACGCCGAGGTCTGGGCTTCAGGGTTAGGGGTGTTTGGCGAGCTCCTCCCACGTAGGCATCTTTGTTGATGTTTATAAGATGTTGCGCTTCAGGTTTGAGGAATGTTAAGACCTTCTTGGCAGCACCTGCGTTTGGCACGG